GCGGCAAGTTGCGTTTGCTCTTTCTGCGAAGCAGTGTGCTCAGTGGTGCAACCTGCATTTTGGAGTTTTTTTACTGGGGCAGTTACAGGAATCGAGATCAGCGACAAGCAATCCAGTGGTTTATTGACGGGTACGTGTAATTCTGGGTAAGCCTTGATTTCTCACCAATACACACCCATTCACTTGTGAGCTTCACTTTTTTGCCGTTCAACCTCAGATTCAGCCCAGCAAGATAATTTTTTTTTTTTTTTTGGAGTGGAACATGTCATAAATTCCAAATTTGGCGAGTAATAGCATCCAGACAAGCTGCTTAAGGACATTACTTCGATCATATAAATCCGTAGGTTTGGATTATTTTTGTCCGGTCCACTGTGTAGTGTTGGCAACGGTGCCCAACTGACACGTTCTATATCGGCATCCTTGGAGCGCTCATAAACTCGCAACAGAGCGTCCACTTCCGGTGCCATAGAATGTGCGTAAACGTAAAACTTTGTTGCACCTTGAGCTATCCATACCTGAATTCTAGTTTCTAGAAAACAACGCTGTGGCGAAATCATACTAAATGAATACAGATCAGCCAATAACTTTTTTAATATTTTTGACACTTGTTAGAGATGTACGACACTTACAGCAGCTAATAGTGTAATGTTTTGTCATCACCCTGCAGTGAATCCCATAATCTAAGAAATTGGATATTTGATGCTCCGGCAATGAAGGGATTGATGAAAATAATGAGGGAGGCAAAGGATAAGGAAAAAAACGAGGAAGTGGCAGACATAGAGGGCATGATTTATATTACACTAACTTATATTTTTTGACAAGAGTTATAAGTTCAGTGAGGATGGAATTTCGGCATGCAATGGAAGAAAACATAGATAAATAACCTGTGAGTATGCGGAACTTTATAATCTTCTTGTTATTTTTTATTACTTTATCTTTTTTTACTTTTTATCATTTTTCACAGATTTTATTATTTTTCTGTTATTTTTCCATTTCTTTTTTTTGTTCATTCCTATATCTTTTTCCATCCTCTCCATTTTATAATCTTCTCTTCAATTTTTTTTTTAGTTGCGCACCCAATAATTTTTCACGTAGTTAGTTTAAGAAATTTGTACAAAAATTAATACAGTACAA